TCCACACAATCGAAAGCCTTTGCATAGTCAATAAAGCACAGGTAAACATCTTTCTGATATTCTCTGCTTTCAGCCAAGATCCACTGGACATCAGCAATGATATCCCTCATTCCACGGCCTCTTCTGAATCTGGCTTGAACCTCTGGAAGTTCTCTGTCAGTGTATGCTTGTAGCCATTTCTGTATTCCTTTTAGTAAAACTTTACTAAAATATCAGATATTTTATATCAACGATATCATCTGATGATTTCCAATCTACACCACATCAAAACGTCAGTTTTGGCATCCTTGAGGGACTCAAATTGTGTTCCTTTGAAATGTTGAGTTTGGCAAGAACAAGTCTTAAGGGGCAAGATCAGGGCTATAGGGTGGATGGTGTACTTTCCCAGTGAAATTCTCATCGGACAGCCCTTGTTACCCTCTAAGGATGAGCACTTGTACTGGCGTGATGGGAAAATATTCTGTGGCCTTTTATCACTCAGTCTGTTTTCAATTTTTTTAAAACATGGTAAGAAGCCCCATGACTGTCCTGATTATCCAGATTGATCCCTTTGGGATCCCTACAAACTGTCACCACCATCTTCTGAGCTGACTTCTCTGCCTTGGATTTGACTGGCCCAGCAGATGCACCCAGATGCCATTGCTGGGTTGGATCCTCTAGATTATACTGGAAATTCAAGACATCTCTGGTTATGATTCCTTTTATAAAATTGTCTCATTAGCTTAAATCTTGCTTGACTGACGGAAAGAGCAGCTTTTGGAGCTAGGTGATCTTTGCACAATGATTTTGGCAAGAATCAATCCAAAAGCTTGCTGAGACCAAGATGTTCACTAAGATGGGAAATCACACCCTTTGCTAGTTATATATACGGTCGTCTTCTGCGTTTCTGGACTTCAGTTGTTTGCTCTTCTTTGAGATCTTTCAGACCTTCCTTAAAACACCCGATCCATCTAAAACCTGTTGCTTTATGTGGGGCAGCATTCCTGTTAATTTGCTGTAAAGTTTCTATGTTTTGGGAAGATGTGCGCTTTAAGTTGTTCAAAAATTGATCAGTCCTAACCTTGAAATTTTAATTTTCTATGGCACATAAAGTTTTTGGTTTTGAAAGCATCCTACCAAGACTACGTGTATGGATGAGAACTGTCTGCCACTTTCCGCCAGACACTTGTTCAAACCGGTTTGGAATGAACCCAGGAACTAGTAACCTAGTAGCAATATTTTTTGACTAACCTATGTAAAAATTCATAGATTTTATTTTCAAATCTTTTACATTGGAAACATTGGTCACTAACAGGAATGGGAACTCAGTGGTTGGAGAGACAGAGTGGGAGTATTTTGCTAAAAAAACCTTTTATCTCCAATTTTGAATTAGATAAATGTACTTCCTGTTTAAAACATTAAAATGGGAAAGAATTTAAACAATCCTTTTTGGAAAAGGACTAATCCGGGTTAATGAGCTGGATTGCAAGGTCAGTTTGAACCACAAGGTCAGCGGTTCAAGCTTATCGGCTGTGCCTGGGAAACACTTTACAGGTCGCTATGAGTTGGAATCGACTCCATGGCACTTAACAAGTTCCCCAAAGGGGCCTGCTTTCAAATCTGTCATCTGTGCCTAGAACCCTGCAGTACTCCTGAGGGCAGCATTCACAGCTTGTGAATTGATGTCCAGGGTGTGTGGCCACAAGGCTGGCTAGCAGTTGCCATAGCGACAGGCACTCTCAGGGTGGGAGGCAGACTTGGATGTTGCAAATCAAGATTTTGGCTAAGAGCCGACAAACCCCTCCCCGTCTATCTATCTCATTGTAAGTGACTCTCCATGCTGACCATTGCTAAGTTTACTTAGTCCCCACTCTTCATCCAGAGCTTCTGTTCCTATTTGGAAAGCCACGGACGGACAGACAGACGGTCCACCTGAGGCTAGCCAGAAGCATGGTTTTAGGTTTGTTTCTTTTTTTGGTGAAGCTGGGGCCCGAGAGGGTGGCTCCATGGTACTGAGGAGGGTGGGTTAGCTCTGCAAGGGGCAGAGGCCTGAATCAACAGGGGCTTGAGAGGACTCTTGGAGCTAGAGCATCTTACCTAAATCTCAATGTGACGAGCACAGGGCCATGGCCAAGGAAGGTGGGCTGTTTGGGGGCTGGCCCAGCAGGGCATGACGGGACTAGCTGGGAGTGAAAAATCGTGACTGTCCTTTAAGTTCCAGTCATCACCAAATTACTGACCCCAGTCTCCACAGATTCAGGCTGCCCGCCTGCCCCCACATCCCAGCCCCCTTTGAGCATGTGTTAGAGATCCTCAGCAGAGACAGAGGAGGGGGCAGGGCCTCCTTTGCTTCTCCCAAGTTTGAGTGCCCAGAACTGAGCTCAGCCCTCAGCAGGCACTGGGAGAGTGTATAATGGACACAATTTGGATTTTCATTACTGACAGTGAGCACTGGACACCTAGTATTCTCTACTACCCTGGACACCTAGTGTATCACTGCCCAGGGCCAAGGACTCCCAAAGGAAATGCAAACCCAGCTCCCATTGCCCTCACACCTCTTAGCAGCAGCAGCGTGTGCCAGATTTACAAAGGCCCATGCAGACTTCTTAATCCACTGCAAAGATGTTTCTGGCTTTGCCGATAACAAGAAAGCTAGTTGGATTTATAGGCGACGTCAAGCGGTTAATGAACAAGCATTGTGGTCTGTTCAAAGGGGTTGGGTTTTCCATATTACCAACCCCGCCCCCTCCCCCCCAAAAACAACAACAACAACAAACCACACCAGGCTAATTCATGGGGCAGCAGCCTTGGGCTCAAATGGAGCATAGATTATGAGGTTGGCCCAGGACCGGGGAGTGTTTTGCTGTGTTGTGCATAGAGTCACTATGAGTCGGTACTGAGTCGATGGCACCTAACAACATCAAAGCATGTGAGGGGTGCTGTGTGGATATCCACTATTGGAATGGACAGGACCAGCCAGAAACCAGGTTTCTAGAACCATTGATTTCTGGCTCACATTAAACAGGGCCTTGGTTTCCTGCTGAGTTACACGAAGGGGTATAAAGGGTCCTTCCAGCTTATTCCCCTATAAGGCTGCTGTCACTGGCTACCTTCAAAACCAAACCTGTTTTAGTCTGCTTAATAGACATTTCTTAAGCTCTTTGAGACTCTTGACCTCTTTCTTTAGCTACTGAAAAACAAAAAGGTGATACAATTGGTTAAGGCCACTTTGAGTAGTTGGGGGTGGTGGGGGGGAAGGGAAGGACTCTGGAGTCAAACTGTCTCAAATCTGCCAAATAGGACAGTAACGTCAGTGCTGAGGATGAAACACAATAAAGTGCCTGAGAAGACCTGCACATGCCGCCTTCGGGCAAGTGCAGCCAATCACACTGGCTTCTATCCTTTGTTGCTATTTTACTTTCAGCAAATGAAAGAGAGAGAGAGAGGCAAATGGGTTGAAGTATCTCCAAAAAAGGAACCCCTTCATAAACAAGGAGTTCCGGGGTAGTGACATCAGATCTGCTCACCTGCACTTCCTTCCTCTAACACGAGACGCTTAGCTCTGATCAACAGTGCCCCATCGGTAAACCAATCAGCAGTACCGGAAGGCTGAGGACAAGAGGCTGCATCACAGACCACCGGAAGTGTCACTCAAAGATGGGAAAAGATGTGGCCCTCACACCCTGTCGGTCTTGCTGGACACCATCTCAGACCTACTCTGGGGCAGTGTTAGGAGACCTGGGTCCTGAGCACCTGGCAGGCGAGGTCCCAGGCCTAGGAGCTTTAGCATGAAGTGGCAGCCGGCCTCTAATTTTAAGGCAGCTTGACACCGTATCTGAGAGCTGGTATAGGGAACAGTTTGGGAGCAAAAGGCTCGACTCTGAGCAGCAGAGTTTAGCTCTAAATGAACCACAGGAAAACAGACCTTTATCACATGTAAACATGAACAAGTTTCCATAGCTCTGAGAGAATGTCACCTGAGAGGAACGGGGCATGCCCACACCCAGAGCACAGGGAGGACCTTACCTACCGACTGGGGAAAGAGGCAATGCCATGCCAGGCTCAGCAGCCCCACACACCAGGCCCAGAAGGGCCGACCCCAACTCCGGCTCTCATCCCCTCTCAAGAGTGGGGAGTGGGTTTCTGGTGCAGTGGAGACTCATCACCCAAAAGACAGTAACTGGACCTCTGGCTTCTCGTGAGGAGAATGTATGTGAAACCTGGAGTCATAATCTGGGATGTTGCCCAGGTTGTTAGCTTTACCTTCAACAGAGACACAGAGGGCCTCTCACTTTGGAAGGAGGAACCTCTGGCTGTGCTGAGAGATGGGGTGTGTGTGTGTGTGTGTGTGTGCGTGCGTGTGCGTGTAGAAGATGAAGGTGGGGGGAGTGGAGTGCTGAGATGCTCTATTAACAAAAATGTGGTGGGCATGTGCCCAGGTTCAGGATTTGGGTTGTGTTACGCACATAAACACCAGTGAAAACTGAGCCAGGACTAAGCCAGTGGGGGAAACATTCTGCAAGAGGTGGTAACCAGAAAGCTTGACTATACAAAAGGATTCTGGGTATAACAACCGTCATGGAGCCAGCAGGTGACTCTGGTTCTTGTAACATCCAGCTCTTGCTTGCCACTCCCCACCACTCGGCATGGCAAGGGTCTGGCCAGCAGAAGGCAGAGTAACGGCCTCAGCAGCCTATGGTGCTAAGGGTGAAGACTCTGACAGGCAGACATGCAGTACCCTAGCAGGGCAGGGTCATCTCAGAAACAGGGGCCTGCTCAACATGCGGGAGGAAATGGGTGCAGGTGGCTGGGCATGCTCATTGCCCACAAGGAAGCTGGGGTCTCCACTCTCATCTGCAGCGGCCATGGGCATCAGTGCAGGGCACAGCTGCCCATGTGTGAACAGAGTATTAAATGCCAAATGGTCTCCCCACACAGAAGGGTCAGGGTCCAGGGCTTCGACTCCTCTAAGGCTCAGCATGGGTTCTCTCAGGACTCCAGTGCAACCCACACCTCAACCCTCAGACAAACTGGGACAGGTTGGGGACTTTGATATTGAGATCGCCAATGTTGATGTTCCGAGGAATCTCAGGCAGATTGATGTTTTTCACAGCAGACACAGCCCGGGCAGGGGCTGCCGAGAGACCACCCTGGGGAGAAATGAGAGGCAGGTTAAGAAAATTCTCAGCATCATCTGCTTAACACTTACGAGAAAGCAAGGAAGAGTGGCGTTGAAAAAGTTGAAACTGAACACACGCAATCAAGTTCGGACTTTCCCTCCTCCTTCCTCATATGTAGGCAAAGAGAGCAGTGAAAGACCAAGGTAGAGACAAAGCAGGCTTTCCATTCGCTGGGGTCCAGTGGGACAGCAAGGCCAGCCCTGCACTCCTCCAAGACTGGACGCTCCTCCAGGATGTGGGCTGTGCTGCCTGCAGCTTTACAACGCCCGCAGTCAACAGGGTCTGGAACGGCGTCCCGAAATAAACTGCTGTAGCTGAGGCAACTCATAATAATATAGAAAGCATCAGGGTATTTTCAGGTCATGAAACAAAACACAACAAATTAAAATAAAAAAATAAAAAAGGTTTTCTCAAGAAACTGAAGATTTATAGACAAATACAAAGTCACAGAAAAATCCTTAAAACAAAGAGGACTGTCGGCACTGTAGCGCAACTGCTGTCCAGCTACTAAAGCGAGATGGAAAGAGCTGGCTGTGGAAATGTCCTGTGGCAACAAGATGGGAAGCCGTGGCATGGAGGAGGGGGAGAGTAGATACCCAATCATGGAAGGACACACAGAGAGGACAGACAGCTATGCCTAACCCCCACCCTCCAGGTTCATGCCCAGCATGTGCAAAGAAAAGGAAAAGTTGACAGACACTCTCAAAACGCATTACCCCTCTTACTGACCACTTTCAGTTCCACCCTCGCCCAGCATGTGTCCTTTTCTCGACTGGTTTCCAAGTCTCTTGCCACTGACTCATTTACTATTCCTGGAAGCTCCCCAGCCTGCATTTCGAAAAGAACTACAGCTGCTAATAGTTGTGGTCTGGAAACCCTTCTTCCCCAGGACTACCAGTGCTCACAGGAAGAATTCCTGGTTTTGTAAGACGGAGTTCCGTTACACAAAGCAATGAAGTTCTGTAAGACACTCAGATAATTAGACAAGTAACGTGTTCTGATATTTCGGCCATGTGAGCCATGTGACAGGTGTGCTTTCGTCATCGCTTTTCCCTGGTAAGACCGAGGAAGGGGGATGGGATGGAACCTACTGTGAACATCTTTCTTAAGCCCAGTGCCATGTGGGGGTGGACTGGTGTAGTCATTTAAAAATCCAGCCCAAACTCTACTACAGTTTTTAATAAGGCTAACTGGAAATTAAAAAAATAATAAAAACGTATACTATGAAATCCTTGACAACTTCAACCTCTTCTCTGTTTATCACAATGTTGTTTCTTGCTCAATTGTGATGATTTCTGTCTTCTTTACATTGAGCTGTAATCCCAATCCTCCAACCTCAACAACAAAGGCCTCAAAATCTCTTTGTTTACAGCTAGCACAGTTGTGTCATCTGCATATGGCAGGTTGCTCATGAGCCTTCCTCCAATCCTGAGGCTGTATAGTCCAGCGTCTTGGATTAGCTGCTCAGCATGCAGACTGAATGAGTATGAAAGGATATAACCCCGGAACATAACTTGCCTGACTGCAAACACATCATTTCCCCTTGTTCTGTTTGAACAACTGCCTCTTGTTCTATGTACAAGTTTCACATGAGAAGGATTAAGTGTTCTGGAATTCCTCTTCACAATGTTATCTATATAGTTTGTTATAATCCACATAGTCAAATACCTTTACATAGTCAAGATAACACATCTTTCAGGCATTCGCTGCTTTCAACCAAGATCCATAATGTCAGCAATAATACCCCTCCCTATTCCACGCTATCTTCTGAATCCAACGTGACTTTCCGTCAATGTACTGCTGCAACCGTTTTTAAATTGTCTTCAGCAAAATTTTATTTGTATGTAGTATTAATGACATTGTTCAATAATTTCCACATTCTCTTGGGTCACCTTTCTTTGGAATGGGCACAAAAATGGATCTCTTCCAATCCGTTGATCAGGTGGTTGTCTTCCAGATTTCTTGGTGTAGACAAGTGAGAGCTTTCAGGGCTGTATCAGCGTATTGAGAGATTCCCTCAATTCCTGGAGTCTTGTTTTTTCACCAATGCCTTCAGTGCAACTTGGATTTCTTCCTTCATCGATTCTTTATCATATGTTACATTTCCTGAAATGGCTGAAGGTCAACCAATTCTTTTCAATACAGTTATTCTGTGTATTCCATCTTTTTTGATGCTTCCTGCATTGTTCAATATTTTACCCATGTTCAATGTTACAAGTCAAAGCTTGAATGGTTTCTTTACTTCTTTCAGCTTGAGAAATGCTGAGGATGTTCTTTCCTTTAGGCTTTATAACTGCAGGCCTTTGTATATTGCATTGTAATACTCTACTTTGCCTTCTTGAGCTGTCCTTCGAAATCTTCTGTTCAGCTCTTTTACTTAATCATTTCTTCTAGTTGTTTCAGCTTCTCTGTGCTCAAGAGCAAGTTTCAGAGTCTTTTCTGACATCCATTTTGGTCTCTTCTTTCTTTCCTGTCTTTTTAATGACCTTTTTGCTTCTTTATGATGATGTTCTTAGTGTCATCCCACAACTCATTTGGTCTTTGGGCGTTAGTGTCCAATGTATCAAAATCTGTTCTCGCGATGGTCTCTAAATTCAGGTGGGATATAAACACTTTCATGCACCTCTTTTAACTTCAGCTTCAGCCTGAACTTGTGTATGATCTGTTCTACCAACTGGCCTTGTTTTGGCTGATGATAGTGAACGTCTCCGTATTCTCTTGACACATATATAACCAATTTGATTCCTGTGTATTTCATCTGGCAAGGTCCATGTATCCAATAGTTATTGTTTATATGGTCGAAAAAATATATAATTGCAATGAATAAGTCGTTAATCTTGCAAAGTTTTACCATGAGATCTCCAGGGTCATTTCTATCAGCAGGGCCCTATATTCCAACTACCAAAAACCCTCTGTGCTTCCAACTTTCACATTCCAATCACCAGTAATTGTTGATGCATCTTGATTGCATGTTTGATCAGTTTCAGGCTGAAGAAGTTGGTAGAATTCTTCAATTTCTTCATCACTGGCTTCAGTGGTCGGTGCATAAATTCGAGTAATAGTTGTACTAATTGGTTTTCCTTGTAGGCGTCTGGCTATTACCCTATCATCGATAGCACTGTACTTCAAGACAGACCTTCGATATTCTTTTTGATGATGAATACAGCCATTTCTCTTCAATTTGTCATTGTCAGCAGAGTAAACCATCTGACAGTCCAATTCAAAATGGCCAGTACCTGTTCATTACAGTTCACTAATGCCTACGTGTGGTGCAGTGCAGTGACTTATTTAATCCTTTTCGTAATTCCTATCAAAGGACTCTTCCTGATGGGTCTGAGTAAGAGAAAGTGGAAGAAGATACTGATAGGATAACATGATTCAACTGTGAATGTTTGCAGAGTTAATGGTAAAAACTGGAAACTCTAGCATGGGTATAAAAGGAAGCGTCTTGGAGGCAGGAGCAGGGAATCTCACAACCATCAAAGAAGAGCCAGCTATAAAGTGATGAAGAGCAAAGATGTCAGTTTGAGACTAAGGTGCGCCCGATGCAAGGAATTTTCAATAATCTCATATGCATGTGAAAGTTGGACAGTGAATACGGAAGATTGCAGAAGAATTGATGTATTTTAGCTATGGTGTTGGAAGTCATTACTAAAAGTACCATGGACTGCCACAAGAACAAACTAATTTGTGTTGGAAGAAGTACAGCCAGAGTGCTCCTTGGAAGCCTGGATGGCTACACTTCACCTCTCATACTTTGAACACAGTATCAGGTGGGACCAGTCCTTGAAGAAGGACATAAAGCTTCATAAAGTGGAAGGTTAGAGAAAAAGAGGAAGAGCCTTCAACAAGGTGGATTTGTACAGAGGGAGCAGTAATAGGCTCACGTGTAGCAATGATTGTGAGGTTGGCCCAGAACCAGGTGGTTTTGCATTCTGTTGTGCATAAAGCCACTATGAGTTGGTATCGATTCGATGGCACCTAACAATAACAAACCTCATCTAGGCATTGGGTCCTTTGCCCCAAACATGAAGTGTGTATCATCAAGTTTTATCAGTAATAAAAATGACATTCTGTCCATGTATATTAATTATACTCATTGTTGTTGTTTTTTTTAATTTAAGGTTTTTATTGTGGATTGAGTGAAAGTTTACAGGGCACATCATCAGTTTCACATTCAACACTTCATATAACTTGCTTCATTACACTGATTATAATCCCC